CTGACTCTGCACGGACTCTGACAGGGAGGGCCTAGAGTTCGATTCCCGATGGTGGAAGGATTTTCCGACAAGTCGCGCACAGTCGAGTACAGTAGCTGTTTGGAGGAGACTTCTAGCTGCTGGTTTGATCTGTCCTCTAGTTTTCTAGGATATCCCCGATCAGTGTCAGACGAACGCCGGAGCAGTACCCTTACAAACGGGCCACGGACCGTGCGCGATAGTTCCTTCCTCTACCTTGTCCTATCGTCACCCCTTACGCACACTTACGTATACATGCGCTACACTACGACACGCCGGGAGACCAGTTTAGAGTTTAGAGCTTGTTCCGGCTCGGGCGGTGCCGCGCTGAGGTTTAGAGGATAAATTCTCCGCATTCAAAGTGTAGGGTGACGCCGAACATCACCATCTAGTGGGGGGGTACACCGCCACCTCCCGCTACAAAACAGTCACTACTCTAAAGAAAATAATGATCATATCAATTGATGGTCCAGGAAACAATCGTTAGTTACACAGCCTATTTCACTGTGCACAAGTGTGTTTCACACGTTGCTCAAGTGTGGCGAGGTGGTAAACTATGTGAAGGGAGATTTATTTCGCTATCCGTGCCATCGATTCTCATTGTTATCACAGCGAGAGATGGTCAGGGCATCAACTGATGTCACTGCAGTCCCTCTGACAGGGAGGTCCCAGGTTCGAGTCCAGACGGTGACAGGATTTTCGACATTAGCTTGTCAGCTAGGTCGCATTCAGTCGCTGTCTGGAGGAGAATTATAGTGACCGGCTGCTCTGATCGGTAGTTTTCCGCGGTTTCTCCGATCAACACCAGGGGAATGCCGGAGTAGTATCCTCAAAAACGGGCCACGGGTCGAGCGCTATTTTTCTTATCTCTTTCTTGTCATATAATGTCCTATAATATACACACAATTACACAAGCAAGCACTACACATGTACACATGCTGGGAGACCGATCGGTAGCTTAGATGTACTCCCGGCTGGGGCGGTGCTCCGCTGGTGGGAGATACCTGGTTGGGTAAAACCCCGCTAGGTCGGCGCCGGATCTCGCCATACAGTGGGAGAAAGATCATCGCCACCTACCGAGTAAAACACACACTACACTTCGGGGACTAATGATCTTGGTTGTTGACGTGCCCGGAATCACTAAATAAATCAATTAATCAGTAATTGTTATCATCTTCCTGGACATCCGTAATACGCAAAATTAAAGTCAGGTCCGCGAGTTTAGTTGTTGGTTTGCTTTTATGAGAGATAACTTAATGCAGATCAACTCCGCCTAGACATTGTGGAGTCTAATATAGATTAACGGAAAATGTCTGCCAAAACTCTGGTGGCTTAAAAGATTCAATATTTATGCGCATGTATAAAATGAATGAACATGTCCCATGAAAACATTGTCGTTAATGAGCGGACCGCCTAATCAAGATGACTGACTAGGTTGTACTGTTGTTGTGTCCGGCTGTTCTGGAAGTATTGCATCTTGAAAGAGGTGTTTGCCCAAAGATATTAAAGTATGTCAACATCTGTAACACATTCTGTATTGTGTTAACTTCTCTCCTTGACAGAAAGGCACGCCTGTGCAAGGTTATATTAGTATAAATATCCAAACAGTTTTTGTATACTAAATGTAAAACCCTGTGGGACAATGAACGGGATGTAACTTAATGACAGTGTATCCCAGAAAATGAAACGACCGGCCTTAACCTACAAATAGACGAAAATAACTTCATCCGTTCCATCATTTTGCTTCCCGTCAAACCCACATGGCGGCAAGAATAACTTTATTGCAGTTAAAGCCAGAGAGTACACGAAGTGACAAAGGCAGGCCGGGCGCGTTCACAAGTGAGCTTTCAACGACATGCCGTACTTCACTGCGTCGTAAAAACGTTTGTTAGCGCCGTGTCCGGAGGCCTTAACGATGTTTAGACTACCTACTCCTTCTGTTGATCTTCCATTTGTACTGCGATCCACTTTTGTGCGTTTGCTTTAAAGATAGAAATCGAGGATCGAGAATCAAATTTCTTCTCGGAATCTGTTTAATGAACGTGTCGTGCGCAAATGCTTCATGTCACATCATCCATAAATCTGTCCAAGAGACACGCCTCAACTGTGCATTGAGATGTTCTTAACAGATTTCTTGAGGTCTGCGAATAAATTTCCTTTTCAACAGTCAACATGCCATATAATTTCCTTTCCGTACATATTGTACATTCTACTTTCCCTTCCTTTATCATCTCTAATAAGAGGGTAATCCTCTCCAAATACTCGAGTGCCAAGCTTAGTCTCTGATGGAGGGTGAATGATACAAACCCCTTCCTTTTCTTCGAGAGATAATTACGGTGGTGGTTGGTCGTTCCTTTATACTGAATGAGTGTTGGTGCGCGTATTCGTGTGTGATTGGTTATTTTTGTCAACTGTTATGAACACTACTCCTGAAAGTGTAGTGCATACTTCTATGCCTAGAGAGGGCCGTGTTCTTCTCCCGCTGGATGATAAAATTCAGCGCCGACTTGCACGTTTAGCAGGGAATTTTTCCGACAACTATCTCCACTAAACCTTCTCTAAACTCCCGACTTCTTTTACTAAATGAATGGTAGTGAATTGTGTGTGTGTGTGAACACGAGAGGAGAAGAACAAGGATGAGAAAGGAATGATCGTGCGCAGTCCGTGACTTGCTTGCGAGTGAGTAATGATGAGAGAAGAGAAACTTACATAATGAAGAGAAAGCATTGTAAAGCTGCAAACGGAAAGGGGCGTTTATAATAGAAACACTGGTATTGTGGGGTCCAGATATCAGAAACGTGGGTAAATCATTTCAAATGTGGCCGATGCCAAAATTCAATTGGTTTGTCCTTTACAATTTGTTAAATTATTGTACCAGAATTATGAACACCAGAAATTATTGTACCCTTGCTAGACATTTGAGGACAGGTTTTTAAGTTTTCCTCCTGTTTTAAGAGATTTTATCCTGACTTGTTATCGCGGTCCTAGATACATTTTTAAAGCAGTATAAATAGAGTGGATGTTGAAGCATAGTAAAACCCCACTCATTGGACAAAATCTCGTAATGAAATTAAAGAAAAAAATGTTAAAGAAACTATTCAGAAGTTTTGTTTCTAGAAATCTGCGATTTGTATGCAATGTAATTTCAGTATCAAAAAGTAAACGGTCAATGTATTTCATATTTTGGCAATTAATATGGCTACTGCTTTAAAAATGTTTTAAGAAACATTAAACACATACTTTGTCTAAGTTAATTGTCCTAGGAGAGCAATTTGAACCCATGGATATTTAGGATATTGAAAACGTGTAAAATTAATAGTGTGTGTGAAAATTTGGAGTTGTAAAGGCATCGCTTTGAAGTAATAAAGTTCTTATCAACTCAATTTGAAAAGTTAACTGGAGGCGAATACAATGAAATACTTTTGCCCTTGATGCTAAAATATTTTACGAAGAAATTATTTAAAATAATATAATTAATTCCAGAACGGAATACAATCGCATCGAAAAGTAATGGAGGTCTCAATTTGTTTGTAGATTGTATGAACATGCATAATTGTCCCTATTCAATTGAAAATCTTTGTTAATAATCATTCGTCCAAGGCAAACTTTGCTTCCATTATTATTATTTACGGGTTTAAACAATGGAAAGTATGTTTTCAGAGAAGCCAGTAAAACAAACATTTCGTGAAACGAATATCTCATAGAATGAATAATTGTTTAACCTCAAAGAAGACGCTCAACATTGTTTCTACACTTTGTAATGTATTATTGTACCGTATGCCTTCCATGTGTGAACGTTTTCTGAAAATAACAGTGACTCACAATTGAAACACTCGTCTCTTAAACTGTGCATCTCTTGAGATTAATCGTTGTTAAGTGAGATGATCTGAGTGTCCATTCATTATAAAAGGTCTTTGGTTTTTGTCCAGTTTCCCTGATGCATTGAGCAAATGCTGAGATGGCCCCTTGTTTTGCTTGTGGTCCTAAATGTAGCTTCACTATGCGCACGTTTTGTTGAACTCTCCTTTTGCTTGTAGTGGTAGGAGTAGAGGTAAGGACGAGTTACTATTTTGTTAGCAATGCAGAAAATAAAATCTGTAGTTTGTTTACCATTGCAAATAATAAGTTTTCTACAACAAGGGAACGAAAATGTCTAGTTTTTCAAAAGTCGCAAATCTCGCGCTTTTTAAAAATTGTATTTATATTTATTTACTAATCTTCAACTTTTTCCCATCTTTCAACTATGTATAGTTAAAAAGATGAGAAGGGATTCTAGAACTCAAGAAACTGTACTCAGGTTATCTTCTCCCATACATCACATACAGTTTTTTACTGTTTTTTTGACTAAATAATTTTAAATCTAAATTACTTTTTGTTTATTTCTAAATATGTTCCAGATAGGGATTCGGTGAAAGACACAATATAGTAAATATGGGATAGACATTCGATCACATGAAAAGTAACACGTTTAAAAAATAGACACTTTAAGTTAAGCGCAGAAATATGTTCCGAAACAGTATAAATTTAGTAGTAAACATTCTATAAAGATTGTTCACAAGCCAGGTACTATAACGAGTAAAACAGTTTATTATATAACGTAAAACACTGCAGTGTAAACATTAATTGGGATAAACGATTCAACTTAAACTGTGCACTTTTATTACTATATGTAGTGCAATGCAGTTCGAAGCTTTCTGTGAATTTGTAACTAATGTGCTCTCCTATTACTGTAATAAACTTCTGAACACGCTGTGGAATAGATTCGACCACATTAGAAGAAATATTTTGTTGTTGCCTTTTCTCTTTGGAGACTGAGATGATACCGCTGTGTACCCTAAAAAGTCTCCTAACGTTCATTAAGAGCAACTATTTTTGCCCGCTTCTTTGGTGAAACGTCCATTAGAACACAAACAAAACATTCCCTGCCGAGAACACACAAATACTAACACACATCCTTTTGCTACACATACAAGCTCAGTAAAATGGAGGGACCAACAATTGTTGTTCATAGTCCAAGCGACGTTAGTGCGTCAAAAGTTAACAATTATGTGGATGAAATTGGTTACAGCTAACTAAATTGTTCCTATTATTTTACACACTACTGTAAACCATCCTTCTCGGTATTAATCCGCTCTCCTGCAAAATGTTACTTTTTTATACGTGTCATTTTTCTTGATAACAGATGATAATGTTAAGATTTTCGAACGGTGGTTTATAAAAACGAATGGAGAATCTGCAGCCTCGAGCAGGGTGAATCAGTCGGCGGGGGCATCTGCCTTTCCAGTCTCCAACTCTTGGGGGCTCTTGAGTGGAGGCGAGACCTCTCCACAGCAGCCGCAGCAGCAGGTTATTTCCGGGCTCGCCCTCTTCAGCAGCTCCGCCCTGGCCACGGAAGCTCAGGCGAGGATAAAGGCGGATCGGTTCCCGGCCTCTCGTTGCCAGCCTTCCAATGCGCACGCCCCAACTCCCATCCTTTGATCTCCATGACATCATTATTCATCCTCCTGTATTGTTCACCCTCCTTCGCAATAACCGAATTTCACTCCCCCTTTCATGCCTTGTATTTGTCTTTCCCTATCTCTCTTTCTCAATCTCTGTCTGTCTCCATCTCTCTGTCTGTCTCTATCTCTCTGTCTGTCTCTATCTCTCTGTCTGTCTCTATCTCTCTATCTGTCTCTATCTCTCTGTCTCTCTCTATCTCTCTGTCTCTCTCTATCTCTCTGTCTCTCTCTATCTCTCTGTCTCTGTCTCTCTCTATCTCTGTGTCTGTCTCTCTCTATCTCTGTGTCTGTCTCTCTCTATCTCTGTGTCTGTCTCTCTCTATCTCTCTGTCTGTCTCTCTCTATCTCTCTGTCTCTCTCTATCTCTCTGTCTGTCTCTCTCTATCTCTCTGTCTGTCTCTATCTCTCTGTCTCTCTGTCTGTCTCTCTCTATCTCTCTGTCTGTCTCTCTCTATCTCTCTGTCTGTCTCTCTCTATCTCTCTGTCTGTCTCTATCTCTCTGACTGTCTCTCTCTCTCTCTCTCTCTCTCTCTCTTTCTCTTTCTGTCTGTCTCTCTTTCTCTTTCTGTCTCTCTTTTCCTCCTCGCACCCAGGCTTTCATTTTCTATCTCTCATTCCCCACATCTCATTTCTCTTTTTATTCATATTCCCCAACCCATTGTCTACCCCGTCTCTCGTTCTTCTCTGTTAACTCTCCCCTCTCTTACTCCCTTCGTCTCTCTCCCGTCTATCAACTGTGAACTCTGCCCTCTCATCCTTCATTTCCAACCCTTCATGCCTCATCGCAACTAATATTTAGTTCCCCTTTTACAATGCAACACTATAGTTTATAGTGGAAATTATTTTTCATTCACCAATTGATGTAAAACGGCCCGGTGAACGTTTTCATAACCACTTGCACAATGTTGCTCTTCAAAATTATTATATACCTTCTAGTAAATAAAGATTAGCTTATTTAGTTTAGCTTTAATCTTATTTAATTTCACTCATAATTGTAATTGTTTTGTCTCTCAACGTAGGATAAAATTGTCCAAATTTGTTGAAAGAAAGTAAACTCCTGACGTAATGAATGGAGCAATCTTAATGTGGTTGCAAACTTTTTGTAAACAAACATCCTACGAATGACTTGCTCCTTTATAAGGTACGTTACATTCGTATTTGCTATTATGAATTGTTTTATCAGCCTTCATGTCAAATAATGTAGAGTACCATGTAATTCCAGAGGGATTGTCATCACACACACGTATATATTACACTCTCGACCAGTTGCAATAATAATAATTAGTAAACATTTTCCCAAATACCTGTTAATTTTGATAATGAATTAAAACTATTAGTATATTTCATTGTATTACATAATCTAAATCTCTAGGTTATATTGAAGCATATTGTCATATTGTTTTAAACTTTGTTACTTCCTAATCATCATTTTCACCAATCCCAATTGCGAAGTACGTTTTCTTTCTCGCCAGATGTCTAGTACCAACTACTTGAACCCATTTAGTTTAACACTCAACACAACTGTGTTCTACGTAGATAAGAACATAAATCAATTTTTATTTACAGTGGAATTTGTACTTAGAACAGCAGTCTGTAATTAAGAGCCCGACTCGCAGAATCATTCAATTACTTTGAGTTATGGTTGCGTCTGCGTAGATGAATGATGGACCTTCTAGTACAAAATACAGAGTTCCGAGGAGTGGCTAGTATTACGTGACCGACAGTGTTCTTGATGTCAGACTCGTGTTTGTTGAGCCTACACTGGACATTGAGTCGGGGAGTTTCACCAATGCTATTGCAGTTTCAAGAGAAGTTTGAAACAAACATTTTTATTTGTAGAAATGTTTTTACGGTCTCTATTCTGAGAGGCTGATAGACGTTAAAGTAATAAACGTTTTAATTATTACATCACTATATAATATGAAACAATCTAAAATTGAAAATACAAAATAGATCTCACCAACAATTACTGCCTATAATATATTTTTATAAAGTCTGGATTTATACAGAGCATTCTAGCAATGTTCTTATCCATTACATTTGACGAAATGCAATATGTGTAATGGGATGAATATTGCTATTTTATTACAAACATAGTTAATATATTTGAAACATTAAATTAATTAATACGTATAATTTAATATACATCAGAGTTTTAACGGTCGATAATTATTCCTCAAATGCCCCATAAATCGAAGTAAATACTAATCTTTCAATATTCACCAACACTGTCCAAAATTATTTATCAGTAAAGAAGGCGCTATAGCAGCATTTTTTTTTACTTCCTAGAACTGTCGCTACAATATTACTGTACGATTATAAAAACAACTCACAGATGTGCACTGTCATTTGGTGACATCCAAGTAACGGGTTGTAGTTTCCATTCCCACCCGGGATTCAACTGTCCGTGTGTGTTGCTTGGTGCAGCATTTCTCGTTTTTCCTCATCACCTATTCCAGAAAACCATGTGTGTGTTGGAACCTAAAATGTATTTTGAGATGCACTCCGGGTAGCAATTCGTAAAAATCTCCCCCAAACCAGAGGAAATTTCAAGCCGTGGATTTTTAAGGTTGAACAATTCTTCGCACGCCTTCCTTCGGAGGGGAAGTAAAGCCGGCTGCCCCATGTTAGTAGATTTACTTGCGTGTAAAAGATCCTCAAGCCTAAATGACGCCTCTGAGGTAAATTCAAATCGCCCGTTTCGTCGCCTGAGTGATACCTCCTTTCTTCGCTAGTGGGTGAAAGGAGCGTAGCGAAATTTGCGTGGTCAGACGGGAGAGCGGGCCTGTTGGCCTGAGTCCTGCCACGTAAAATAAGGCATCAATTCAATTCAATAATAACGGACTGGAATAAATTTCCTGTGATAGCCATGGGTTTCCTCTAGGCCTACAAGAATTTAAAAGTATATTAACTAATGATATTTCTTAACTTTATTAATTAGTAAGTTAGGCTTATTAAAATAGCTATTATTTTATTATTATTGTTATTATTAGTATTGTGATAGTTACTATTAAATGCACGGCTTCATTAAATGTATAATTATATTTAAAGTAGAAGTTGAATTGGAGTGTCGTGACGTGAAATGTAGTGCAGTAGTGCAGTAGTGAAGTATAAAGAAGAGAAGTGAAGTGAACTGAAGTGGGTGGAGTGCAGTGCAGTGTTTTTAAAAAAGTGTACTTATTAATTAAACTATCTGTGCAGGACAGCCATAAAATGTAGAGTTAATGCTATTATTGTTATTATTGTTTTTATCGTTATATTATTATTGTCTTAAAATATTTTTAAATTACATTGTAATAATATTTCTAATAGCAATACGTAAATTGTAGTGTTCTACCACCATGTTGTGTAAACCTACCTGCAGAAATAATAAATCTATCTAACCTCTGCGTTCTAAGGACCTCACATTAGTGATTGACTGTTGTTGTCGTCGTTGGTGTTGCAGCGCGGGGGCCGCAACCGGCACAAGGGCAAGGCGGGCGGCGGCGTGGAGGCGGAGGCGGAGGCGGAGGCGGAGGTGGAGGAGGGCGCCGGAGGGCCCACGGTAGAGGAGACGGCGGCCGCGGCGGCGGAGGCGGTGGACGCCGCCTCCAACGCGGCGCACGTGGCTGCCAGTGCGGGCGTCTCCCTCCAGCAGGTGAGTGCAGCGAACGACACGTTAGCAGCTGTGCTCCAATAACAGGTATCGGTTGAGATGAACGGATAACGACATTTGTCCCGTAAAACTAGGTGTGTTTTTGTTTTTGTTATGAGAGGTAGGGGTGATTCTCCCCCGCTGGTTGGTGAGATCCGATGCCGACCTACGTCGGCTTGCATTTTCCCCAACCAGGTATCTCCCATTATCGTGACACCGCTCCAACCGGAACAAGCTCTAATCTCTACATGTGTGGTGGTGTTGTTCTTCTTCTAGATTAAATAAACCTCCCTTGAGTTAAGCGACTTTAGACATTTCTGTTTTTAGTAATCTGACAATGCGACTTGCCGCGGAATGATACTGAGAGAAGATGGAACACCAGATACTATGTTGTTAGAAACTAATATCTTTTCATGCTGCTGTATATTCTAGTTCACGATGTTCTATATTTAATTACATTATGTTTCTGTTGTTAAATGACTATTGTTTCCCATCCAAATATTGATATAACTCTGTGAAAACTTTGGGACAAATTTTAAAATATTTACAGGATTTCTAGTGTATTTTTCGAAACAAAATTTCTGCAATGTTTCAAATAAAAACACAGTTGAAAATATTAGAATAATATTAGTGTATATTATTTTATTTTCACGCAGAGCCAGCCTGCAAGAACTGAAACCAAACCTAAGGCAAAAGCACCTTCCACAAAGACAGCTGATCGCCTTACAGACGACCCGGGCGTCACAGAAGGCCTCATGCTACCGGAAGAAAGAGCTTTTGTGGTGAAGAATTCTGATATCATGGGGCGGTAAGAAAATGTATTTTTCAAACGTTCTTGGAAATTCTAAATTTGTTATGTATGTTAATAATAATTTTAAAAATACTGTTTTGAAGGATAAAAATAAGCATAATAAGGATATGTTTGTGTATAGGGGTGGAGCCGCTTGGCCCCTGTGAGAATTTTGAATGGGTCTCCGTACGACTATGTAACAAAACAAAACATAATTATTTAAACGTTTTAAAATGTTTGAGATATTTTTGTATTATATGTCTTATTCGTATACTTTAATGCATTACTAGATTATAAAGGTATTTCGGTCTTCATTTTACACAAAACTGTAAAATATTTTGTATGAAATAGAAATATTTAAACGAGAAAGTTGATTTTGTGTTTCATACACAGAGTTTGTTGAGTCATTTTTTTAATTGTGTACATGTATATTATTAGTTACATTAATTTATAGAAATCGTTAAAAACAACAATAATTTAAAAATTTAAGCGATTGGCTCTGGAGGTTCCACTATGTAGTGCATGGCGCGAATTATACCTTGGTTAAAAGCTGCTATTTGCCGTGATCATACGGTTCGGTAAGAACAAATTGTCTGCGTCTTCCTCAGGGGGGCACGCCCCCTTTGTCCAAACCAGGCGTCTCGTTAGCGGGCGGCCGGCGCTAGCGGCGACAGGCGACTAGGAGACGGTGGTGGAGGTTTGGAAGTCGCCAACTCCCCGCCCCACCGCTGGTTTCCCCCGCTTCCACCTCAACGTCACCCTCGCCTCCGTGCGTCTCTCTACTCCGCACACGACCATTTCCCTGACCCCCACGGCACTTCGCCTGTAAGCATGGTAAGTCGTGCACTCCAATCGGGAGCTTATATGTCGCAACAGTGATGTCACTGTGAGCACGTTGAAGCTCCCGATTGGATGAAATCGTGAACAAGTGATTTACGTCATGAACATGGTTAAATAAATCCTAGTATGCACAGTCTCAACCTCTACCTTCATCATCATCATCTCACCGCATCCGCCATCTCCTTCACCTTCACCTCCAACTCCACCTCCACTTTTAACTGCACATCCACCTCCACTTCCACTACCGCCAACTCAACCTCCACCACCTCCAGCTCCCCCTCCAACTCCTCGTCCACCACCTTCAACTCCATCGCCTACGCCTCCACTTTTTGTGATGAAGGATCAGCTGCAAGATATGGAGCTGGTTCTGGTAGATATGGAGGTTGGTGTATACCCATGTAGACGATGTTGAGGAGGAAGTAGAGGTTGTTCTGGCGGAGGTGTAAATAGTTATGGTGTAGGTGGTTCTGTCAAGAAGTGGAAGTGGTTCTGCCAGAGAGATCGACGTGGTTCCGACGATGATGTAGAGATGGATATGGCTGTGGGGGAAGATGAGAAGGTGCCTGCGGCTAGTGTGGCAGAGGCAGCGACGGGGGGCTGTCGAGTGCTTCGGTGTGTGAAGGAGTGGTGGTGGGCGGGAATTGGAGTAAGGCGGCGATGGCACACAGGCAAAGGAGCCGACAGTAACGACGGTTGCGGCGGCGGCGGTTCAGTGTGCTCAGGAGAGACGCGTGTTTGACGGCGCGTCAAGCTGCTCCTCAGTGACGCGTGACAGGCGGCGACGCCCGCCGTCATCACCAACCGCCCCCGCTCCCACCTCTGCCGTTAGGCGTCCGCTCGTGTAGCGGCCACGTCCCCTCCGTTGCTCATTAACGTGGCTCTATTGCGAACGGATACGAAGGAGGGATATTGGTTAAGGTGGTTGTGGTTTTCAGATTATATAGCGGCCTACGAAAAGATCTTAGTTCCTACATTTAAACATTGACGTCTCCATTGCCGCTCTTATCCCCACCCCATGCCCACTACAACCCGTTATATTCCTGCCTCCCCCCTCCACCTTCGCCTCAAACTTACCCCGTTTCTGCCTACCATTTCCGCCTCCCAAACGCTCCTCCCATTTTAACCTCTTATTCTGGTCTTCCATTCCCACCTCCCATTCCCGCCTCTCATTCTTGTCTCCCATTCCCACATCCCATTCCCGTTTTGGATTCCCACCTCCCATTCCCGTTTTCGATTTCCACCTTTCATTCCCGCCTCTCTATTCCGCCTCCCATTCTCGCTTACCATCCCCGCCTCCCATTCCCGCCTCCCATTCCCGCCTCCCATTCCCGCCTCCCATTCCCGCCTTCCATTCTCGCCTCCCATTCCTGCCTAACATTCCTTTTCTCGTTCCCATCCTTGCCCCCATCTCCGCCTCCCTTTACGGACACCCTTCCCACCCCTCCCTAGCTCATCCCTTCCCTTCCCCGTTCAGCCGCCACTACGACCAGACACCGCGCCGCTCCCTGCCGTCGCGTTGAAGGAGCTGCTTGCGCGGTCGTATTTTTAGGCGAGATTCATATGATCCATTACGTGTTGTTTACTGCCCTCGCCTCGCCTGTATATCGTGCACGCTTTCCCAACGCAGGCGGACTGATGCACTTCTGGGAAATGCGGCTCGCGAAATAATTTTTTTGATGTAGGATTTAGCTTACAACAATAATGTGTATCATAAATTACCAGTGTATAAGTAATCATGTGTTTTGTTTTAATTGACAAAGTAATCAACTGTTTTATTACGTAATTGAATTAATACGCTTCTACTGATATTCTTGCAACTCTAATGGTTCTCGTGCTGCTAATTAAAGTATTGGAACGAAATATCTCTATTTCATCGACAATAATTTCATTAAAATATTAAACAGTAATTATCTTATTTATTTTTCATAGCCGGAAATATTTTCAACGAACTATCATTTAACATGTCTCTCTGACGTCCATAATTGCAAATCTTTATTAAGAAAGTTTAAGTTTGAAATCTCCATTCTGTTACATTCATAGAAAAAGGAGGATCTGATAAAAGTACCATGTGTCAACATATCTTATTTATTGCCCAAATTTCTTTTATAAACTGTTTATATTGTAAGACGGTTTTAGAATGAGCTATAGTTTCTGCCTAAATTGTCGGACAGGGGATCCATTACAGTATGTTTACCTAATGCACTTCTCTCGACGTTCTGTGTACTGAGCTCTAACCAAACGGGCAGACCACTGTCATTCTCATATTTCAACTGGCTCATGATATACAGCATCTCTTAGACGCAGAGCAGAAAGATGGTAAAATCGTATTGTAAAACTGACTGAATGTTTAATATTAGTAGTTTTTATCTGTTGTTGTGATTGTTATACTTTTAAAAGTTAATTAGCATAATATTCGACGGTTAAGAATAGGTTTAATCCTATAATTGTTTTTTCTTCTAGCGATCGCTTATAATCTCTAACATTGTCTCAAGTACAAATGCTCTTTGAAACCGAGAATAACTCATAGAATGAATTATTCTATATAAAAGAGTATTTCTCGAATGACTGACCGACATCCCGTAGTACTAACACGCATTGAACATATATCTGACAGCAAGTGATACTGTAATATTTATTGATTGACTTTATGAAAGCAGCACAATATTCTTTTATATTTTCAATGATTCAACGTGAATTACATAACTTCAGCACCTCCTATAATTTATAAACGGTTGAAGTTATTGCAAAGCAGTATAATATTGTTAATATTGTTTAATTACCTCATCTTGAAGCTCAATGCAATATGCAAAATGAATAAATAATTTATACAGGTGGCAAGAATTCAATATTTTTTGTTAAATAAAGTTCGAGATTAACTGACGAATTCCATTTAAAATATATTTCAGTCTTGCAAACTTATCATGTCATGTCTTTCTCCATTGCCCGATTGCATTTCGTTTGAAATGTGGAGGACGATTAAAACAAATGTAAAAAAGAAATAGGGGGAAAATGAAAACAAGCCGAGGGAAACAGAACCGAGACACATAAACGCAAGCTGGCGAGAAACAGAAAATATCTTATTCTTCCCCCCCCCCCCGCGGAACATTGGACACACATACGCACATTGGCGCACACGAGCGCCAACGCACACGCACACACGCACACACACACGCACACTCTCACACGCACGCACACGCACTCACCCTCACACACACACGCGCGCGAGCGCGCACGCACACACACACACACACACACACACACACACACACACACACGCGCGCGCGCGCGCGCGCGCGCGTGACGCCATCGCCAGAATTTAAACCCTTCGTAATGATAAGATTCCAACTACCATTTCAATCGTTTAATAAATTGATGTCGATGTTTCCTTAACTCATTTTTCAGTCATTTCTACACCTGTAGTAGTGATATCTTTACAGTAACTCTTTAACCACAGATTGCAGCATCATTATGTTCTTGCTTGATTAGAGATTTCAGACGTCATTAAACCCACAAGTGTAGTGCATGTTTTCGCAGGGTTAGGCGGTGATCTTCCCCCGCTCGATGGTGAGTTACGTCGGCTTTCGGGGATTTTCGAGGAAAGGACAAGAAAGGAAAGATCGCGCACAGTCCGTGGCCCGTTTCTATGAGTATTGTCCCGGCATTTGCCCGGTGTTTATTGGAGAAACCACGGAAAACTGCAGATGAGAGCAGCCAACCGCTATAAATCTTCTCCAGACATGAGTATTTTCTACTTTTGGCAGAAACTAGATAGAATCTTGTCAAAGTAACAATTTATTTTCTTCAGTCAGTTGGTACCTTATGATTCCAACGAGTCGATTTCTCGGTTGCCGCGACCCACACCTGGTTGGAGTCCTAGCTGTGTTAGACGGGTCCGCGCCAGCGACACGGGTCGATGACATTATGAATAGGTATGACAAAAAAATCGATGTTTTTAGAACATCGATGTTTTCCATCAGAAACATCAAAGCATTAACATCAATTTCTCTTTATTTGTTATGTTTCTTAAAGATTAATATATGGCTTGCCATAAACATTTTTATTACACAGTTTACATTTACGAAATATTACGTTACCTTATATTACGTAAATATTTACGTATTATAAATATTTAATACTGGACGTCTTACTCTAATGATTTTTGAATGAAAGTGAATAAATAAAATTATAGAAAAACATTTATTTATTTTTTATATCTTTCTTTAAATTTAATAAACATTATTATTAACATATCACTTATACGTGTCCTAACAATGAAATATACTGGTATTTCATTGAAGTACTCTAATTAAAAACGAAATTTGAATGGCAAACTGTTTTATCATATTTAAAACTGATATTTTGAACGTCGATATTTTTGTCGATGTGTTCATCGATACCGAAAACATTTTGGTACTGTATAGAAATGTCGATGTATCGATATTTGAGTAAAATTTGCCTTTCTCTCCCCACTGTGGTTCGTGCTTGGAACCTGAACTGTGGCGGAGCGCTTTATCCGCGCAAGCGACAGGGCTCATTAGGCGTTATGAGCGGCGCGCAGCCATCACTCACTAAAAGAAAGCGCCGGCGGCGTGCAGAGGGCTATTGTTTAGATGCCCCGCCCACGGCCGCCCACGGCCCCGCCACGCCTCCGCCCTCGCCGCGCGACGTGGGAACGGGAAAAGCCACTTCCTCGCAAGCAGGGGCATGTGGCGCAAATGCCCGCGACTCCGCTCCACCTTTTGCTCTCGCCATTCGTCGCGCCTATTGCTTAGTCCATCTTCTTGCCCAACCACTTGCCCTCCCACGCCTCCTTCGCTCCTCCATCGCCTCCTCACTCGCCTCCTCGACTCGCCTCCTCTTCACTCGCTCTGCCTCTCACTGCCTCCTCACTCGCCTCCTACTCGCCCCTCAACTCGCCTCCTCACTCGCCTCCTCACTCGGCCGTCCTCACCTCGCCTCCTCACTCGCTCACTCACTCGCCTCCTCACTCGCCTCCTCACTCGCCTCCGCACTGCGCCTCCTCATCGCCTCCTCAGTTCGCCTCCTCACCTCGCCTTCCTCACTCGCCTCCTCAACTCGCTCCTCATCGCCTCCTCACTCGCCTCCTGCTCCTCCACTCGCCTCCTCACTCGCCTCCTACTCGCTCGCCTCACTCGCCTCTCCCTCGCCTACTCCCTCGCCTCCTCCTCGCCTCCTCCCTCTCGCCTCCTCCCTCGTCTCCCCTCAGCCTCCTCCCGTCCTGCCTCCTCGCCTCTCCCTGCCTCTCCTCGCCTCCTTCCCTCGCCTCCTCCTCCTCCTCCCTCGCCCCTCCCTCGCCCCTCCCTCGCCGCCTCCCTCGCCCCTCCTCACCCCCCTCACTCGCCCCCTCACTCGCCCCCTCACTCCGCCCGCCTCCACCGCCCCCTCACTCGCCCCTCACTCGCCCCTCATCGCCTCCTCACTCGCCTCCTACACTCGCCTCCTCACTCGCTCCTCACTCCACTCCGCCGCCTTCACTCGCCTCCCCTCGCTCCTCACTCGCCATCCTCACTCGCCTCCTCACTCGCCTCCTCACTCGCCTCCTCACTCGCCGCCTCCCTCGCTCTCTCCTGTCAGCTCACGCGCTCTCTCGCCACTCGCCCCCTCACTCGCCTCCTCCCTGCCCCTCCACTCGCCGCCTCACTCGCCTGCCTCGCCTTACTCGCCCCTCACTCGCCGCCTCACTCGCCTCCTCGCTCGCGCCTAACTCGCCCTCCTCGC